TAACACTAACTATGGCAGCTATGGCCGCCTTCTACTAACTGACTACAAACAGCGATGGCCGCTCTATCTTCCTCGCAGCCCACTTCGACTTCGGGCATCTGCAGACCACCTTGCACAAGAAGCTCGGGCAGCACTTCCGCATGGCTCACGCAGAGTGAATGAATGGCTGGACGCTGCCTCTTGATTTATACTTCTGCTGGTCGCTGGTCTGCTCCTTTCCACCACACCCTTGGTGCACACAGTCCCACATGGTACCTGCTGACTGGACAAAGTGCGACTGGGACTGGGTACCGCTGACTTGACACAGTTGGCTTACCACTTGCCCACTTGCCTCTGGCTAAACGTGAGACACTTTCGAAAGACCACTTCCGGACCTTCCGGAAGTCTGTGGACTTGGCCTTTCGGGACTGTAGTAGCTACGACCTTGACCTTTCAGGACTGTAGCAACTTTCAGAATTGCAACAACTACGACCCCTACACAACTATGACCGCAACTCGACAGACCTACGGTTCAAACACACAGGGGTCAACTTGATACTGTACACGGGTGCGGTCGGGGTCTAGGGAACGAGCCCTGGGATCTGTATTTACTACTGCAAAGGTGAAAACGGTTTCACTCCCGCTGGCCTAAATTCGATGTCCTCAGAGAATACTTCAATCCAAGGCAGGACCTCTACCTCTCTTGTCTCTCTCATAGGCTCGGACTACATAGAGAGCAGTCTCTAGCAGTTCTGTTGGAGTGAACCAGCGGTTGTCTCCTGGTTGTTGAAAGGAGAATCTGACTTTGTACTGTTTCTGTGGACGACCTCTACCTCCTGTTCTGAATACATCTTGACCTACTATGCGATCAATGTCGTACCTTCCATCCATATCCGGAGGGATCATGGACCTCAGTGATGGGAATTGTCGACTTGTAGTACAAGGCAACAACTTTGACGCATGAAAAACCGGGTAGGTGTGGAGGTGTGCTGGAATCTCTATTGTGTAGGACCGTCCATCCTCTTCGCCCTTAACCTCTAGGACTGGCCACAGTCCTCTGTAAGCAGGTGAAAATTTTTGTGAGATGTTCTCCTCAGGAACGAACTCTTTGGACTTAACCCAGACTAAGTCGCCTACTTGGAACTGCAATGGGAGACAATGTTTGTTGGCTTGTTCTATCATCTTGTGTTGGGCCTTCCTGAGGTTCTCTACTACGGTAGCTATCTCTTTCTTATGATGCAACGCGAACTCCCTAGTGTCGGGCGGTAGCCTCTGGATCTGATCCAGGTTCAGTCCTTCAAACGACCTACGTGGTCTAAAGGACTTATGCAATTCGTTGGGAGTGCGATAGGTTGCTAAGTGCGCACTGTTGTTATATGCGCTGGCTACCTTTGGGAGCATCTCATCCCAATTGACTTGATCGGGTCTAATATACGTCCTTAAAACTTGTTGCAGGATCTTGTTCATTTGTTCAGTCTGACCGTTAGTCTTTGGATGACGGCCAGATGACATCAACAAGTTGGAGCCGTAGACTCTCATCAGTTCCTGCAAGTTCTGACTAGTGAACTTGGTATCTCTGTCACTAACTATCGACAGCGGTAGACCATGCTCACTGACCCAATCATCGAAGAACTTGTCTATGACCAAATTTGTACGTGCCTCTGAGGGTAAAGGAACAAAAACGACATATTTACTAAATCTATCAACAATAACCATGACTTGGCTCTTGTAGTGCCTACTCCTGACCCCAACATCCATAAAGTCAATGGACACAGAATCTCTGGGTCCCGCGGGAATAGGCAATGGTCTGAAAAGACCAAGAGGGGCTCGTGTAGTGGTCTTATTCTGTTGGCACACCTTGCAACTGCGTACATACTCGATGCAGTCAGCCTTCATGCCAGACCACGTATATGCGCGAACGAGGTTAGCCAATGTCTTCTGCCAACCAAAATGTCCCTGCGTGTCGTGGCATTCCCCTAAGATCAGACTAGGGATATCTTCGCTGTTGGGAACGCATAATCGATTGGCTACATTAGTCTTCTCGAATAACAACCCATCTGTAGTGCGGTAATCTAGTTCAAACTCTGGGGTCTCCTTAACTCTTTTAAGGAGGTCACTATAAATAGGGTCCTGCGCGTACGCTTCCTTGACTTTGTGTTCCAGGTCTCTCCCTATATCCAGATAGTGAACTATCGCTCCACAATAATCAGCTCTCCTGCTTAGAGCGTTCGCGACTACATTATACTTTCCTTTGACTGGCTTGAGCTCAAAGTCAAATTGGTCTATCTCTGCGGCCCAAGTAAGCTTAGGTTTCATCTTGGCCTGCGTCTTCAGCCACCTCAACGTCTCGTGGTCTAAATATACTTTGAAGTGCCTCCCAAACAAGTAGTGATTCCTGTGCTCTAATGCTTGCCTGAGAGTGTATAGTTCCCTCTCATAGGTAGATGTCGCTACCTTCTCTGAAGGCATCCTAGCAGGCATGAACTCTACGGCTCTATACCCATTGCCATCATCTTGCTGTAGAACAACACCTATACTGTACTGACTTGCATCAGTAGTGACAACAAAAGGTAAGGACGGATTGGGTACTCTATCAAGGCTTGTTTTAGCTTCTTCAAGCCCGACGTACAGTCTCTGTCCCACTCCCAGATCGCTTCTTTCTTTAACAATCTGCGAAGCGGTGCAGCGATGGTAGAGAAGTTCCTCACGAACTTCCTATAGTAGGTTGCTCAGCCTAAGAACGACCGCAACTCTGTCAATGTGCGGGGCGTTGGCCAATCTCTGATCGCTGCTATCTTACCGTCCTTAGGTTTTATGCCATCTTCATCTAAGACGTGGCCCAAGTACAGAACTGGCGTCCTGACCCACTCACACTTCTTTGTGTTGATCTTGAAGTTAGCTTCCCTCAGCTTCTCCAAGACCTACCTTAGATGACCCTCATGCTCCTGAAGGGTCTTCCCAAATACTAGAATGTCATGTAGATATACAACTACAAATCTATCTAACCACGACCTAAACAAATCGTTCATGCAGTGCTGGAACGTGGCTGGCACGTTGGTTAGTCTAAAGGGCATCACAATAAACTCGTAGTGCCCATATCTAGTCACGAATGTCGTCTTGTACTGATCATCAGGATGTACCTCTATCTGATTATAGCTAGACTTCAGCCCTGCACCCAATCTAACAAATTATCTATATGGGGCAGTGGTTCTGCATTCTTTACTGTGACGACATTAAGACCCCTATAGTTCATACACATTCCAACCTCTCCCTCCTTCTTGGGGACAAATAAAAGAGGTGTTCCAAGCGGAGACGAACTGGGCCTAATCCAACCCTTTTCGAGGAGCTCATCTAACTGCTTCGCAACTCCTATAACTCCCTTGGGACATTCTATAAATGGCTCCCTTAGGAATCCTAGTGCCAGACTCTAATTTAATGCGATGTTGGATTGGCCGCGACACTACTCCTGTAGGCGGCTCGGACAAGTCTGTGTACTCTTCCAACAACTTGGCAATAGTTGGATTAGTGGGTTCCTCGTCCTTAGGCCCAGTGATAGGCCTAACACAAACTACAAAAACCTGTTCTTCTAAGTGCTCCTTCACTAATCGCGCGAACGTGGGAGCACTAAGGCAACAATGTGCCAGAGGGTTATCTACTCCTGACACGTGAAACAGGCGAGCAGTCTTAATTTCACCTGATGGACTAGGGAGCCTACACTCATGCTCTCTCAAATGGAGTGTGACCCTTGCTGCCTCTCCTCAATCCATTCCCAGGACCATATCGAATGGGAGATTGTCTTCTACAAGGAGAGTCAAGGAATGGAGAACTCTCTCTACCCTCCCATCTTTTTCTAGGCGAAAGTATGCCTGGACTCCCCCGACGTAATCCTCGACTCGCGTAGTGCGATTGTCTGCGAGGATACTGACTATAGGATCTTCTAGCTTTTGGACTTTTAAATTAAGCTTCAACTTCATCTACAAAAAACTAGTTGCCCCTTACCATCTTTCTTCATCTTGGCCTAGGTCGGCATCCTCTTCTTCAACTCATCTGCCTGACCTGTGAGGGAAGTGCCTAGAGAGACTCTAACACAACCAGCCTCTGGACAACTACCTAGACACTAGCCAACAACCTCTGCCATAGACACATGTGGTTTGGGAGCTTGTTTGTGGTGCGCGCACTCTTCTCCACATGGTCTAGGGGTAAGGGCAGTTGCAACCCCTACCGGCGGTTGCCTTTTGCTGCCTCTGTAGCAGCTCGTCGGGCTTCTCTGTATTTGGGGCAGTGCTTAATGATATACCCTGGATCACTGCAAAAGATGCACTGATCGGCGTCTATTCTCTTTTGCCACAAAGTCTGTTCTAGTCCCAGCGATTCCCAGGGTCGACCTCGCGGCAGGCCAGGGTGCCGTTCACCCCTCTCGGGAGGTGATCGGTGGTGATCGGTTAAAATGAGAGCGTTTTTGCGGGGGACCTTGACCCCTGCCTCCCTCTTGGCGGTTTCCTCTGCAACCAACCCCCTGATAGCTCTGTCCTCGACCACCAGAGGCCCAGCCCCCTTGGCCCCGACCTCCTCCTCTTCCTTGCGGCCTCCCTCCAACCGCGACAACCACGTAAGTCCTTCCCTGACCATTGCCACTGTCCTCCTCCTCGAGGTCCCACTCTATCTGGCTATACGAGACCTCTTCTATACCACCCTCATCTAAAGTAAGGATCGAATGATCCTTGGCCCTAACTTGGCCAGAGATGGTACGACCTTTCCATTTTTGGCCCTTGTCCAAGTCCTTGTGCCAGAAGGTAGAAGCTGGCATGGAGTGGGCCTCGAAAGTCGCTACTTCCCTACTCAAGGTGTCGTAGGTCATAGTAGACTCCTTGCTCTTCTCAAAGAAATATCCGCGCAGGGGCTCGGTCATGGCACGATAAAACAGTTGGACTAGTTGGGTCTCAGTGACCCCATGGCCAGGGACGACAACCAACTCGTCCACGACTCCCTTGAGTGCCCTGGCACTCTTCCACTAACGAGAGTGGACGGTCTGCAATTTATCAGAGACTCTAATCCCTCTAGTGGCATCGACGCGGTAACTTGAAGAATTCGTTCAGGGGGGTGATCATGGAGTAAACTACCATGTCGTTTTCACACTTAGTTGCATGGGCAAGTGATCGGGCGAAGCTCGCTGCGTCATCCTTGAGGGCATGAAAAGCAATAAGAACTTGCTCGTCAAGCAAGATCTTCTGGAGGTGAACATAAGAGTTAATGTTCGCCTCCCAGTTGTCAAAGTTTTCCTCTTTCCCACTGTAGGAGTCAGGGAACTTAACTTTGACTGGGTCTCTACGTGGACGCGCTTCTTCCTCCTTTTGGAGTTGCCAACTTGGCGCCCTCTATGGCGCCTGTACACAATCGCTCTGTACTTTCCATCCTCACTTTCACCTTTGTGCCTACGTGCATCATCATCTCACGTGCGAACTCTCTGAAGCCCAATCGTATAGAGCGCAATGCTACATCTTGGCCGCTTACAAACTGAGACTGTTCTTCTTGAGCCTTCGCCAAGAGTTCCATATTTCTAGCCATAATTTTTCCCTGGTCAAGCGCAATTTTCATTCCAACTTCTTTTCTTCTTCAATCATCTGGCGACGTAGAGGGTCCTCTTCTGCCTGCAGTTCTCTTATTACCGCCTCTTGTTTTGCCCTCGACATATATAAAATCGCCTCCTCTTCTTCGCCTAGGGATAGATTACCGACCCACTCTGAGACCTTTTCCAACCATGGGTCCTCCTTCATGCCACTGGACTCCCGTCTCTCTCTTGTGACCCTTCTTATCAAGGGAACTTCTTCTACCTCTTTTTCTTTTTCTTCTTCTTCTTCTTCCACAACCTTTAACCTTTCTTTTGTCTCCCTCTTCAACTTCTCTTGTTCCTCCTCCAACTGTTTCTTCATCGTGGCCCGCTCCGCCTGTAAGGCCAACTTCTTGGCCTGCTTCACTACCTTTCTCTTCTCCTTTTTGGCCTTCTGCTCGGCCAGAATCTTGGCAGCCTCCTCCTCCTTCTCCTTTGCGTAAAGAGTGGTCCCAGTACCACCCCTCGTCTCCACTCTACACGTGAACGTGTTCCATAAGCCTAATGGAAACAGGAGACGCCAGAGGGTTCCCCAGAGGGAGAACCCCACGAGCAAGCTGTACATAGGGTAGTCGTCCATGGTGATAGGTGCACGACAAGAGACTGTCCCACTCCTCACCACTTAGACCTACCCACTGATTGACTGACTGACTCTCTAAGGACTACCAAATCTGTTTAGGACCCTGTCAACTATGGTCTCTAGCCTAGACCTACTACTAAAGTTGTCACTATAAGACTTTACTGCTGACCAGGAGGCATTTAAGGAGACCCCCCAGAACTCCTTAGGAATTTTTTAACGTCGCAAAGAGGAAGACGCGATCAGCAAGTCCTCTCAAGACTTAGACAATTGGTAGTGCAGCCCACAACCCACATTTTGCGCCAACCATGCCATATTGAGCAGCCCGTCGGTCACTACCGGTCCTTGGGAGGGTTAGTCCTTTGGGACGTGTCAGTCATCAGACATGGTACTTAAGCCCTACTCAGCCCGTGGGGTTTTGGTCAACACAGCTCTACGACCTCATACACGGAGTTCCTATCACCTGGACAGAAGAGACTCAATGCAGAAAGAAGAGACAAACAAACTTAGCAAGTACCATAGGGTGACTGCACATCCATAGGGCGAGGGGATAGGCTGAAGGCTTGGCAAGAGTATACCAACTCCAGCTTGGTCAAATTCGTGGTCAATAGCTCCGGTCAACGCTGGTCGATCTCCCGGTCAATGCCAACGCTGGTCGACACCTCAGTCAACGCCTTGGTCAACCCTGGTCAACACCTCGGTCAACACCGATCAACTCCCCGGTCAACTCCCCGGTCAATGCCTCAGTCAACACTCAACTCGGCTATGGCTGCGGACCCCTTCTCCCTCACCAACCTTTACTTCCCTCCTTCTCTCTCCTTCCTCTCTTCTTCTTTCACCCTGGCTATGGCTTCTCTCTCCTTCTTCGTCCCTTCTTTCTCTTCCTCGGTTACGGTTTCTCTCTCCTTCGTCGTCTTTTCTTTCTTCCCCTCGGTTATGTCTTCTCTCTCCTTCGTCTTTCTCTCCGTGTCCGAGCTCGGCGGCTATGGCCGCCACCTTCTTCTTTGAACCGCACAACCAATCTTGTATCGCTCCTCTCTCTCTCTCTCTCTCTCTCTCTCTCTCTCTCTCTCTCTCTCTCTCTCTCTCTCTCTCTCT